TCTAGCTTCTCCCCTCCCCTCCTGTCCACCAGCTGCTAGAATCTGACTTTCCCCATCCAGCCTTTCCCATTTTTTCCCAGGAGGTATAATGGTCAGACTCCAGACATCAGACAGGGTCTTGATGTCTCTGCTTTAGTCCAAGGCCACCCTCCTCTTGCAACCCCCACATCTGCAAGGGCCTCTGGAACATTTACCCGCTGAGCTCCTATTAAATTAAAACAACTGTGGAAGGTAGGGAGCCATGAGCTGTCTTCACATTCACTCACATCATTTCTGTCTTGATTAACTCCAGTCTGACAACTCAAATTAGAGGCAGGCAGGATGGCGGGCCTGGGATGGTATCAGATATTGCCAGTTGCCTATGTGCCACTTCTGTAATTGGAGCCTCAGTTTGCTCTTCCATGAAATGGGGATAATGCCACCTGTTTCCCAAGGATGCTATGAGGATGAATGGAGGTGATGACATAAAGGAAGTCTGGAGAATGTAATAGGCTGAATGAACGTGGGTTCCAGAGCAGGTCCAGGCCAGTTGGCCCAGTTCACAGAAGCCTGGATTTTAGGAGCAGTCTTCTGGAACCCCGGGGAGGCTTTGGAAGACCCTGCTCAGGCTGAGGAAAGGGAGAAAGAGATGAAAGACCACATCATACACAGGCAAACAGGAGAGTGAGGACACACAGAGCAGTGTTCACTCATTCATCAAACATTTATTGAGAGCCTACTGTATAAGCGATACAAGCAAGATTCAGACACAGATATTTACAGTTTATAACTGAAGAAGAAATGGAAACATACTCAGCACCCAGTCTGCTATCTTTCACGGGCAAAGCATTGCCCATGGGACCAGGAAGACCTGTGTGCCTGCCCTTGTCCTCCAAGGTGGGCAGAGGAACTGCAGGGATGCCAGCAGAGTGGAAAGCCAAGCACCCAAAACAGAGAAAAGACTCGAGGCACACAAGGAAGGGGTGCAAAGCAGGACACGAGGGCCCCAAAAATTTTCACAGGGAGCAGGCTGGGGTTGAGGAAAGGTCTAGAACATCTGCCTGGGGTTCCAACACTTGAAATGCTCCATGGAGGACCTGGGAGTGAGGTGACTTGGAAGAGAAAGAAAGGCTCAGCTGCCCCTGTCCTGAAGGGAAGAGAAAGGTGGCCAGGACCGGGAGGGACTCCCGGGCTGTGTGACTCGGGGTAGGGGTGCAGGGATGCGTCCTGTCCTCTTCAGGGAAGCATTCAGCAGAGTAAGCTTGCCAAGGCTGAGGCACTGGGGCCTGGCTGCTACAAGGGGCCAGGGGGTCATCTCTGCAAGCTGAAGATGTCTTTAAGCCAGCCACCCACGCGCCTCCTGGCACAGGGTCCACGGCTCTATACCTCCGCCCACTTGGAGGGGCTTCAGAAGTCTGAGCATCCCCTCATGCCTCTCCCCTACAGGCCACCGAGGAGGCTGGGATGTGCTGGGTTAATGACAATATAAGGTGTCCTTGTGATTCATTCAGGCCATCACTCCCCACACTTCTCCTCTCCGCTGCAGCACCTGACACCACAGCCGACCTGGGGTCCATTCACTCATTCAGAGGCACCTGGCTCCTTTGTTGCCTCTACGCCCGGGACACAAGTTGTCCTTTGGCCTCTTTGAGCATTTTACCCCCATTCTTGGCATCTGGCAGATGAGCCAAAAGCGATTAAGAGTTTGGGCTTTGGGGGCTTCCCTGGTGGCGCAGTGGTTGAGAGTCCACCTGCCGATGCAGGGGACACAGGTTTGTGCTCCGGTCCGGGAGGATCCCACATGCCGCAGAGCGGCTGGGCCCGTGAGCTGTGGCCGCTGAGCCTGCGCGTCCGGATCCTGTGCTCTGCAACGGGAGAGGCCACAAGAGTAAGAGGCCCGCATACCTCAAAAAAAAAAAAAAAAGAGTTTGGGCTTTGGAATCAGGGAGCTGTAGTTTGAAATGCTTGCTATGCCACCTCACAAGCTGTGTGACCTTGGGCAATTCCCTAACTTCTCTGAGCCTTCATTTCCTCCTTACAATGTGAATAATACTACACACCTCAAAATCCTTTTTGAGGACCAAGCATACACAAGCCCTGTGCCTGCCTCACTGCCCAGTGCTCAACAAATGCCAGTTCGCTGCTCTTCTTGCTCAACAAGTTTTGGTGTTTGTTCTTTCCCTCAGAAATCTTTTATTCTGCACGTCTGCATGTGCATTTCCCTCATGCCCCTCCTAACATCTAGCGATGTTGCACTCTTCTAGCTCACCTTTCCAGACAGTCTTCTCAGAGTGCCCCGTCCCCCGTGCCTGCCTCCTCACTATCCCCTCAGTGCTGGGGTCAGGACCACGCTGAATGCACCCCTGACGGGGGGCTGTCCTTCTGGGGCACACCTGGGTCCTATTTCCACACACAGGGCAGTTGCAAGGGAAGCCTCAAGAGTGCTGGCTCAGAGCTGGGCCCACGGTTTGAGGCTACCGATAAAGGTATTTGATCTGACCCTCCACAGGAGCCACAGTCCTCTTCTGGGCAACATGATGCTTTTATGACATGAGTCAGTAAAAGTTCACCCTGACCTTGATAAAGGGAACAGTTCACAAGAACTAAGAGTTAAATGAACAGTGTTGTGGCGAGAAAGGACCCTAAAAACAGTCTGCAAGTAAAGAGTGATTAGAAAAGAACACAAAGGGGGTAAAAAATTAGTCAATTATTACAGGGAATTATCAACACACTCATTTTATAGATAAGAAACCGAGGCTCAGACAGGCAGAGTGACTTGCTTAAGGTACAAAGCATGGTGGAGCAAGGGCTTCTGATCAGGCTGGCTCCAAGTTGAATGTCTTTGCCTCCCATACCCTAGGGCCCACTATTTATGGAGTCATTAGTGTAACTTTCTACAATATTCTTTAAACAGAATGATTTTAGAAATGACCATTGCTCTCAACTGATATTTTAAAACATGTACTACTGTATTTAATAAGCTATTATTTCTTATTTAGAGCACTTGCAGCTCCCACACAGGTCTCATGCTCTCTTAGGAGAGCACCCCATGTCCCACCCTTTTAGTTCTTATGGCTGGTCCCGTGGACAGCAGGGAATGGGCTGCAGGAAGACAAGTGAGAACTGCAGTAGTGGCTCCTTATCCCTCCTGTTGCTTCCACAAAGCACATTTCTCTGCACATGAGGGAGAAATGAGCTGCAAGAGAACCAGTTTTAAAATAACACTGAGAAAAATAAGCAAGGCTTGGAGCTATCAGTGAATCACTACAGTTCTTTACTTTGCAAAACATTATTTTCTTTTTAAGCGGACAAGTACTCCAAGGAATACAGATTCTTCTGTACTGTGGTACTTTAGAGGAACAATGGTATCACCCACACCATGAGGCACAGGGACTCTCATTCCATCAAGGGCTAGCTGTGGGCCTCACCACCCCCCCTTCCAGCTGCTCTGGGATGACAAATCTGCAGACATTTGAGTTGACCCAAGGTCCTTCGTGGGCTCCTGACTTGGACACCAGGCAGTGGGGAATAGGTTTTTTTCCTCTGCCTTCAGGCATCAAGTCTTCCTCTGTCAGAAGTATCAGGCATGAAATTTACGAGCAACTATTTGCAAGGATGCAAATACAAATTCTGACCTCTGATGACCTAATCTCCTCAACTGATGTGTGCTGAGAATGCTTTATGGTGGCTCTGCATTAATATGAGGATCGAGTGCTGTCCACCAGAGAAGGGATTTCAATCAGTTGCCTTTTGATTTACCTTCAGTGGTGCATTTGGAGAGCAGGGGGAGAAGATGCTGTTAAGGCCTATATCATGCAAACACTCCCACCTGTCCCATTTCAGTTACAGGCCTCCAGGCTCAAAGGGATTGCCGAAATCATCTAGCAACTACGCACCCCCATCTGATGCATCAATTCTGTCTCCAACAGTCTCTGTTGTAATAACTCCAAGGGCAGGGAGCTCACTACATCATGAAGCTCAGGTGCTCAAAAATGGGAAAGGTCTGCCCTAACGAGGGATGGAAACCTGCTTCCCATGACTTCTCTCCCACAGGTCCCAGTTCTGTCCTATGTGAGCCACTCAGGTCACTGCTGCTCTCCCCCACTGCTCCCCCCCACCAAGCTGCATAGCTCCAGGCCTTCTGGCTGCTCCTTGTAGCCACTTTTCATGCAACAGCTAGCATGCTCAGGGTCATAGCATACTGCTGGATGAGTGATGGTGGGGTCAGCCAAGCCCCCAGGATCCAGGGAGGACAAGTAGCAGGCAGGCCTTGCAGATGAAAGCTCAGAAATCTTGAGCCATCAAGGGCTACCTGATATCCCTGAAGTCCCTCCACTCTAGGTTTCCAAAAACAGCCCACACCCCTCTCTCACAGCTCCCTTATAACAACAAAAGTGGGGAGATCAGCTCGGTGCTTTGTGACCGCCTGGAGGGGTGGGATAGGGAGGGTGGGAGGGAGGGAGACGCAAGAGGGAAGAGATATGGGAACATATGTATATGTATAACTGACTCACTTTGTTATAAAGCAGAAACTAACACACCATTGTAAAGCAATTATACTCCAATAAAGATGTAAAAAAAAAACAACTCATGAAAACAAAAAAAACAAAAGGGAACATAAAGCAGGAGTCAGATTAAGTGCCTTAGAGGGCGATGAATGGAGCTCACACTGTTTGCAGGAGTTGTGCCAGGAGGCTCAAAGGGCTAGACGTGGCAGAGTCCCCAGGGTTCATCTACTCCTTACCTCTCCTTGTACGGATGAGGGAACTGAGGCCAGGGAGGAAGGGACTCACCCTGGGTCACACAGAAGTTTAGTGGTGAACTCCCTGTCTTAAGTAATCTCCCCGGCCAAAGGGCCTGCTTCTCCATTGGAACCCAGAACATGGGCCCTAAAGTCAGCCACTGCTCCTTGACATCATCACTCCAAACCCAAGTGGCATAATCTGCCGCATCACTCTTGGTACCCACGGAGCGGCGGGTGGTCCTTACTGAGAGGTGTGGTTCTGCGGGTTCAGGCCTAATCAGAGAGTGCTGTAGCTGGGGCAGGGCAGTCGGAGGACGGTCGGAGGTCCATGGGGCGCTTGGCCCGGCCGGCTGCAGAGCTCTCGCAGGCCCTGGCGGAAGTCGCGGCGCAGCAGGCAGTAGAGCATCGGATTGAGGCAGTTGTTGGAGTGCGCCAGGCAGATGGACAGGGGGAAGAGGAAGGCCTGAGACAGGAAGTAGGCGCGGTCCCAGGGCACAACGTTCAGCTTGACCAGCACCTCCCGGAGCGTAAGTGCTTGGTTGGGCAGCCAGCAGAGCACGAAGGCCAGCAGCACGCAGGCCAGCGCGCAGGTAACCCGGGACCGTCATCGGAGCCGGACCCCAGGCGGCCAGCATGCCCGCAGCCAACGCAGGAAAGGCAGGAACAGCAGCGAGCAGGTGCCCAGCGTGGCCAGCCGCAGCACAAAGGCCACGGTGATCTTTTGCAGATGGTAGAAGGCCAGCCAGTCGAGACCGCCGTCGGGGAAGCGCAGCAGGCACAAGCGTTCGCCCCTGACGCTGGCCACTGTGGCGAACAGGGCGGTGGGCGCGGTGGCCAGGACTGCAGTGGCCCAGAGCAAGCAGCACACGCAGACAGCCCATGGGGTGCCGGGCCGACGGGGGCGCAGCGCGCTCGCCACCGCGCAGTAGCGCGCCACGCTGATGGCGCTGAGGAAGAGGCTGCTGGCTTACATGTTGAGCACCATGAGCACCACCTTGCACATGGCATTTCCGAAGGGCCAGCTGAAGTCACGCACCATGTCAACGGCCCAGAAGGGAAGTGTCAGCACGAACTGCAGGTCGGTGGCTGCAAGGTTGAGGAGGAAGCAGCTGAGCAGCGAGCGGCGGCGCCGTTGCTGGGACCGCACCAGGACCAGCACCAGAACGTTGCCCACCAGCCCGAAAGTGCACAGGGCCAGCTAGGCGCCAGCGATCAGTGCGCGCAGCGCCAGCCTCCGCCACACCCTCCAAGCCGTCCAGGTCTGCGGGGACCTAAGGTCGGGCGAGTGCTCTCAGATCCGTTGCCCACGGAACTGTTAGGGGGCTGCCCCGACGACGCGTCTCCAAGCCAGTTCAGGGGGAGCACGGCCCCAATGGCGCGGGCGATGCGACAGCTGCCTCTGGCTGACGCCATCATCCTTGGTGGCGCGCAGGGGTCCGCTCAGGTCTCCTCAGAGAACAGCGGCCGGGCTTCAAGAAGCACCTGTGCTCGGTAGCGCGCCGCAGAACTTTTAAAGGGATGAAGGCAGCCCCGATTGGCCAGTTGCACCCGTGCCCCGCCCTAAGAGCTTCCAAGCTGTATTTCTATTGGCTGCTTCTTCACCTTCGATTTCCTCAAGAACTGAGGACCCGCCGCCTGGGTGGAGGCCGGGAGCTGCGAACCTGGGGGCCGGGAAGTGGGGACCCGGGAAATGGCTTCTTCGATTCACTTGGGCTCAGGATCGCGGCTTGGGTCGCTGCGTGAAGACGCAACGCCAGCAACAGAGCTTCTCCCGCAGTGGTTCCGACACTCGGGACTGAAGGAGACGGTTTGAGACAAATTTCGCCTCGGGAGGCAGCATATACCCCTTCACCTTCAGCGTGTGCGGGGGTCTGGAGATATTCAACGGGAGACCGCGGAGGGTTGCTCAAGACCAGACAGCAGGGCATGGCAGCCCCTCTGCCCTCCAGCCCTGATCCTCTGAACGGTCCCCCAATCCCCGACTTTTTTTTTTTGGCCGCGCCATGCGGCTTGGGGGATCTTGCGGGTTGCGGGTTCCCCGACTGACCGGGGATGGAACCTGGAACCCTAGCAGTGGAAGCGCGGACTCCCAGCCACTGGCCCGCCAGGGAATTCCCTCTCCCTCTCCCTCTCCCCCTTCCCCCTCTTCCCCTCCTTTTTAAACTTTTTATTTTATATTGGAGTATAGGTGATTAGCAATGTTATGTTAGTTTCAAGTGTACAGCAAAGTGATTCAGTTATACATATATATGTATCTATTCTTTTTCAAATTCTTTTCCCATTTGTTACATAATATTGAGCAGAGTTCACTGTGCTATACAGTAGGCCCTTGTTGGTTATTCATTTTAAATATAGCAGTGTGTACATGCCAATCCCAAACTCCCTAACTATCCCTCCCGCCTCCGAATTCTTTTTTTTAATGTTTATTTATTTATTTATTCTTATTAGTCATCCATTTTATACACATCAGTGTATACATGTCAATCCCAATCTCCCAATTCATCACACCACCAATCCCAATCTGCCAGTTCATCACACCGCTTTCCCCCCTTGGTGTCCATACGTTTGTTCTCTACTTCTGTGTCTCAATTTCTGCTCTGCAAACCTGTTCATCTGTACCATTTTCTAGGTTCCACATATATGCCTTAATATACGATATTTGTTTTTCTCTTTCTGACTTACTTCACTCTGTATGACAGTCCTAGATGCAGCCACGTCTCTACAAATGACCCAAGTTTGTTCCTTTTTATAGCTGAGTAATATTCCATTGTATATATGTACCACATCTTCTTTATCCATTCGTATGTTGATGGGCATTTAGGTTTCTTCCATGACCTGGCTATTGTAAATAGTGCTGCAATGAACATTGGGGTGCATATGTCTTTTTGAATTATGGTTTTCTCTGGGTATATGCCCAGTAGTGGGATTGCTGAGTCATATGGTAATTCTATTTTTAGTTTTTTAAGGAACCTCCATACTGTTCTCCATAGTGGCTGTATCAATTTACATTCCCACTAAAGAGGTTTCCCTTTTCTCCACACCCTCTCCAGCATTTGTTGTTTGTAGATTTTCTGATGATGCCCATTTGACCTGGTGTGAAGTGATACCTCATTGTAGTTTTGATTTGCATTTCTCTAATAATTAGTGATGTTGAGAAGCTTTTCATGTGCTTCTTGGCCATCTGTATGTCTTCTTTGGAGAAACGTCTATTTAGGTCTTCTGCCCATTTTTGGATTGGGTTGTTTGTTTTTTTAATATTGAGCTGCATGAGCTGTTTATATATTTTGGAGATTAATCCTTTGTTCGAAGATTCATTTACAAATATTTTCTCCCATTCTAAGGGTTGTCTTTTCGTCTTGTTTATGGTTTCCTTTGCTATGCAAAAGCTTTTAAGTTTCATTAGGTCCCATTTGTTTATTTTTGTTTTTATTTCCATTACTCTAGGAGGTGGATCAAAAAAGATCTTGCTGTGATTTATATCAAAGAGTATTCTTCCTATGTTTTCCTCTAAGAGTTTTATAGCGCTTGGTCTTACATTTAGGTCTCTAATCCATTTTGAGTTTATTTTTGTGTATGGTGTTAGGGAGTGTTCTAATTTCATTCTTTTACATGTAACTGTCCAATTTTCCCAGCACCACTAATTGAAGAGACTGTCTTTTCTCTATTGTATATCCTTGCCTCCTTTGTCATAGATTAGTTGACCATAGGTGTGTGGGTTGATCTCTGGGCTTTCTATCCTGTTCCATTGATCTATATTTCTGTTTTTGTTCCAGTACCATATTGTCTTGATTACTGTAGCTTTATAGTGTAGTCTGAAGTCAGGGAGTCTGATTCCTCCAGCTCCATTTTTTAGACTCAAGAATGCTTTGGCTATTCAGGGTCTTTTTGTCTCCATACAAATTTTAAGATTTTTTGTTCTAGTTCTGTAAAAAATGCCATTGGTAATTTGATAGGGATTGCATTGAATCTGTAGATTTCTTTGGGTAGTATAGTCATTTTCACAATGTTGACTCTTCCAATCCAAGAACATGGTATATCTCTCCATCTATTGGTATCATCTTTAATTTCTTTCATCAGTGTCTTATAGTTTTCTGCATACAGGTCATTTGTAACCCTAGGTAGGTTTATTCCTAGGTATTTTATTCTTTTTGTTGCAATGGTAAATGGGAGTGTTTCCTTAATTTTTCTTTCAGATTTTTCATCATTAGTTTATAGGAATGCAAGAGATTTCTGTGCATTAATTTTGTATCCTGCAACTTTACCAAATTCATTGATTAGCTCTAGTAGCTTTATGGTGGCATCTTTAGGATTCTCTATGTATAGTATCATGTCATCTGCAAACAGTGACAGTTTTACTTCTTTTCCAATTTGTATTCCTTTTATTTCTTTCTCTTCTCTGGCTGCCATGGCTAGGACATCTAAAACTATGTTGAATAATAGTGGTGAGAGTGGATATCCTTGTCTTGTTCCTCATCTTAGAGGAAATCGTTTCAGGTTTTCACCATTGAGAACGATGTTTGCTGTGGGTTTGTTGTATATGGCCTTTATTATGTTGAAGTAGGTTCCCTCTATGCCCACTTTCTGGAGAGTATTTGTCATAAATGGGTGTTGAATTTGGTCAAAAGCTTTTTCTGCATCTACTGAGGTGATCATATGGTTTTTATTCTTCAATTTGTTAATATGGTGTATCACATTGATTGATTTGCATATATTGAAGAATGCTTGCATCCCTGGGATAAATCCCACTTGGTCATGGTGTATGATCCTTTTAATGTGTTGTTGGATTCTGTTTGCTAGTATTTTGTGAGGATTTTTGCATCTATATTCATCAGTGATATTGGTCTGTAATTTTCCTTTTTTTGTAGTATCTTTGTCTGGTTTTGGTATCAGGGTGATGGTGGCCTCATAGAGTGAGTTTGGGAGTGTTCCTTCCTCTGCAAATTTTTGGAAGAGTTTGAGAAGGATGGGTTTTAGCTCTTCTCTAAATGTTTGATAGAATTCACCTGTGAAGCCATCTGGTCCTGGACTTTTGTTTGTTGGAAGATTTTTTTTTTTTTTCAGTACACGGGCCTTTCACTGTTGTGGCTTCTCCCGTTGCGGAGCACAGGCTCAGACGCGCAGTCTCAGCGGCCATAGGCTCATGGGACCAGCCACTCCGCGGCATGTGGGATCTTCCCACACTGGGGCACAAACCCGTGTCCCCTGCATCGGTAGGCAAATTCTCAACCACTGTGCCACCATGGAAGACCTGTTGGAAGATTTTTAATCACAGTTTCAATATCATTACTTGTGATTGGTCTCTTCATATTTTCTGTTTCTTCCTGGTTCAGTCTTGGAAGGTTATACCTTTCTTAGAATTTGTCCATTTCTTCCAGGTTGTCCATTATATTGGCATAGAGTTGCTTGTAGTAGTCTCTTAGGATGCTTTGTATTACTGCAGTGTCTGTTGTAACTTCTCCTTTTTCGTTTCTAATTTTATCGATTTGAATCCTCTCCCTCTTTTTCTTGATGAGTCTGGCTAATGGTTTATCAATTTTGTTTATCTTCTCAAAGAACCAGCTTTTAGTTTTATTGATCTTTGTTATTGTTTTCTTTGTTTCTATTTCATTTATTTCTGCTCTGATATTTATGATTTCCTTCCTTCTGCTTACTTTGGGTTTTGTTTGTTCTTTCTCTAGTTCCTTTAGGTGTAACATTAGATTGTTTATTTGAGATTTTTCTTGTTTCTTGAGGTAGGCTTGTATAGCTATAAACTTCCCTCTTAGAACTGCTTTTGCTGCATCCCATAGATTTTGGATCGTCGTGTTTTCATTGTCATTTGTCTTTAGTTATTTTTTGATTTCCTCTTTGACTTTTTCAGTGATCTTTTGGTTATTTAGTAATGTATTGTTTAGCCTCCATGTGTTTGTGTGTTTTCCCTGTAATTGATTTCTAATCTCATAGCGTTGTGGTCAGAAAAGGTGCTGGATATGATTTCAATTTTCTTAAATTTACTGAAGCTTGATTTGTGACCCAAGATGTGATCTATCCTGGAGAATGTTCCGTGCACACTTGAGAAGAAAGTGTAATCTGCTGTTTTTGGATGGAATGTCCTATAAATATCAATTAAATCTATCTTGTCTACTGTGTCATTTAAAGCTTGTGTTTCCTTAATCATTTTCTGTTTGGATGATCTGTCCATTGGTGTAATGAGGTGTTAAAATCCCCCACTATGATTGTGTTACTGTCGATTTCCTCTTTTAGAGCTGTTAGCAGTTGCCTTATGTATCGAGGCGCTGCTATGTTGGGTGCATATATATTTATAATTATTATATCTTCTTCTTGGATTGATCCATTGATCATTAGGTAGTGTCCTTCCTTGTCTCTTGTAACATTCTTTATTTTAAAGTCTATTTTATCTGATATGAGTATTG